GTATTAGAAATATGATTCAACTTTTAGCTTATGATAATATAATAAATAGTCTTTATTATGATTCTTTTTCTTTAAATGATTATGATATAATAAATTATATATAATATAGTAATATAATATAATATAATATAATTAAAAGCTTATTTAAAAGATTATTAATTATTATTTTATTTTTATTATATAAAATTATATTAAAAAAATTATATGAAAAATATATAATAATAAAATTTATAAATTTATCAATATTTTTTATTTTATAAGTTATAATTATAAATCTATTAAAATTTTTTTATAATAAATTAAAAAAAAATTTTATTATATAATTTAATTAGTATATAATTTTTTTTATTTATTTTATTTATATTTTTATCTTATTTTATATTTAAATTTTTTTTCTTTAAATATTATTTATAATATTATTAATACTAATTATAAAAAAATTCAAATCTGAAAGTATTATTTTTAATTTTTTATATTAAAAAAGTATTTATATATAATTTTAATAATAAAATTCTTAAAAAATTTATAAGTTTTTCTTTTTATTTTAATAACTAATTATTAAAAAGATTTATATTATAATAATTATAATAAATAAATCTGAAAAAAAAGTTTAATTTTTTATAATTATTATTATATATTTTATAATTAATATTTATTATTATATAAATATATTTTTTATGAATATATATATAGTAATAAATTATTAATCACTAATATATAGAGAAAATATTTGAATTATTTATAAATATATATAAATAAAATAAAAAAAGTTATGATTAAATTAATCAAAAAAATATTGATAAATTCTAAAATATTAAAAAAATAAATAATATTAGAAAAATAATATCTTTTATTTTTCTTTACTATTATTAAGTCTTAAAATCTATTAAATAATTAATATATTATACCATAAAGATTATTTATAATGAATAAAATTCTTATTTAGTAAAAAATGACATTGTATACATTTTCTGGCCAATTATCGTTCGTATTTTTTAACCAATCACTATTGATTCACGTGATCGGCCCCGTTTTAGACAAGATCTATAATGAATTCTCAGACTATTTTTCAATAACTGTATTATAACGTTAAAACACTTGCAAGAAAAAGTGGCAGAAATTAGTAGTGAAATTATTTCCGTGCATGTTTATGTCCATAAATATTGATTAATATTCTCGTGCATTCTCGTGTTTAGCTCCTACAGATCTCCCTCGCGTCCTTCAAAATCCTGATATATAGCCACCTTGATTCTTTAATGTTCTAAAAAAAGACCACATGCTTGCTCTCGTATTTGAATGGAACGACGCTGGTTCAATGATGTCCCCGCTGCTCCCAAAACTTCGAAATGGCGTTGCAGGCCAGAATAAAGCTGCAATAATTGCAAATCTTGTGGCAAACGGCGCAAAAAATTATAATGTCATCTTCACATTTCCCGAATGGCGAAGGCATTGGAACATGGAGTGATCAGATGCCACCATGGTACGAATGAAGTCTGATTTCATGTTTTTCAAATTCTTCAGCTTATCCAAAGGATAAAAAACCAGGAGTTCCGAACATCTGTAATACAATTACTAGAATAACCAAACGCGCCACAGGCTCACTTACAATCGCATTTGATATTGAGAATTACACCATTTCTTTAAATTGAAATATTTAATAGCATGGGACAATCCCAATTATTGAGTTGGCCCGTGCTTGCTTTTAATAAAGTTTTCGGGAGGTCTACGGACAGTGCTGAATCATGTGATCTTTCCGGGATAAATCGGTGGATTTCAAATTTCCTAATCTGTAATTCAATAGGCGCAAATTTTTGTCAATGATAAGAATGCGAAAAATCATGATGCATAAATCTTTTGACTATTAATTAAAAATGTAGGATGGGAAATTTTACATATACAAGGTAACCCCGTTATACCGAAGTGGTAGTAAAAAATTTTAAAAATTCGGTTTATCCGAGGTTTCATTAGTAAATTCGGTTTAACGGGGTAGATTTACTATAACTGATCCTGGAGCCATCTTCGGTTAAACGGGGTTCGTTGTAACGGGTAGCCTGGCACCAACTCAATACCTTATCCTTATTCAAATTAAGAAATAAAATCACAACATAAGATGGATTATGATTAGGAGTTATTGTTACTATTACAAGTAACACAACAAATTAGTGAAACAGATATCAAAATTTTTTGCAAGGAATCTTTTTCATGCACTTATGATTATTATAATAATAATTAATATATATGATTAATAAATTCAATTTCGCAATAAAGCGGAATTTTTTCAAAATCAAAAAGGATTTTTTTCAAAATCACAACGGGATTTTTCCGCGTCCCTGTCGTTGCCCTATAAATAATCCACAAAGTCAAAGGAAAAAATTTTTTTTATCAGCTACTGTACCAAAGTTTGCTAGTGCTCTAGTTGACATTACCAGCAAAGATTTCGTTGGGTTAACAAGTAATAATACCATGTCCTTCTCGACTAACTTTGAACTTGTGCGTTTGATAAAAACTTGCTATGGAATCGATGTCACAAAGTATCGATCAAAGAGAACTGGATTAAGTGTTGTGCATATTGATGTTGAAGGTTTGTTATCCGATTAATTATAATCAAAAATCAAGGAAATAAATGATGGCAAGAAACTCATATCATGCGGAATCTGCCAGGTCCACTCGTTAATGGATATTTCGTATTGGCAACCGAAGGTTCATGATTTTTCTAATTTATTAATATATGGCCGACTGATTGATTAGTTCATCCGTTAATATTGAAAGCGTGTATTTTAAAGCTCATGATGACGATGGATGTCCGCATACTTTGGAACAGTAAGTTACATTGCATCTATGGCACGCGGATTCAAGTAAACAACTCAATCGGGTCTTGGTTTATACCTTACACTTACACGCAAATCTCTTGATCATGCAAAAAATTAGTCTGGTGTTTCTAGGCAGCGAACTGTATCCATATAAAGTAATTAATTGGGTGAAGAACACGTGATTTTTATAGATCACCAAAATTAAAAAGTTGACGTTTTTCTATATGATAGGGTGTTCTCGACATGCTTGCTAGTCGCGCTCTATCTCAAGGAACCAATGCATGGACCGATACAGATAACACTTGCTATAGTATTGTATCTCTTGATTTCTTGTTTTCTGTCTATCCAATGCATCTCTAATTTTTATCAATATTTTCTCGTTTTGCTTAGCTATTACTACCGTCGGCAACGAAGGATTTTTGAATTTGTTGCCCAGTACATTTTTAATCATAAATATTTTTTATGGTCACACATTTTAAGATGCTCACCACGTTAATGAATTGTTTCTTTCCCAAATAGTTTATGTTGATCATATATTATATCCAACATTAACTGATAGTGGATATGTTACAGAGGTATGTATTTGGGTGATTTGCGACAAGTTGATTTCAATTTTTGATTGTAACTATTTTTGTATCTGTGGTGTGTGTTATAGGTTCATCATATTAATGGAAAAGGCGAAGATGCTGGTATGCATTTTGGTTTTTTGAAAGTTGATTGATATTCTATATAAATTCGCTCTGAATAATAAATTTTTTGGATGTAGGGGTATTATATTATTCATTCTATTAAAAAGGAATTATTTAAAATATAATTATGAACTTTGATTCTTAAACTTGATTATTGCAATTTCTATTATTTGTAAGGTGGTCTATAGTGAAATGCAGGTATGTCACTTATTATTTCATATATTTATTTGTTTATAGTAAATATAATGATGTAATAACATGCTTTCGATATTTAATTATAGGGCCGTCAAAATACAGCCTATCCTCTAATGCATCTGCAGTTAGTTAAATATATTTAATTTAATCAATAGAATATTTGTTTCTTCTTTAGTTTTAATTAAATAATTATTTGATTTATTTGAATGTCTAGGCTTCAGCGATTAATGTATCCCCCTGGAATTGGATACCGTAATGAGACTGGCGGTTTGATGGAGTGCCTTAGAAAACTGGATATCAATAAAAGTATGTGTTTTTTATTTTTTAAATTATTACGTATTTTTTTATGCTCAAATTATTTTTTATTTATTTTTGGTAGTACGACAAGTAGGTGTCCATGATGCAGTTATATATAGGATATGATAATTTTAACTGACTAGATTCTGTAACACATATATAGTATCATCGTGACTATTATCGACCTGATAATCTTTCTTTGGTAATCGTTGGTAAAGTCATGCAAGAAAACTTGTTGCGCGCTCTTCAGTCGTTGGATGAAAGGATTGCGTCGAAAGGACCATTGCCTCCAATCAAGAGGTGATTTAATGTTTTCATCTCTCTTCTCTTTTCTTTAAACGAAACTAATTCTATCACCAAAAATAAAAAGACCTTGGGTCGAGTCACCAGCCGTCCCGCCACTTGAAAAATCAGTGGTGCAGGTGGTAGAATTCCCGGACGAAGGCGAAAGTATGGGCGAGATTTTGATTGGATGGCAAGGGCCTAAGATCAATGTATGTAATAAGATATTGATTTATGTTATTTGCGGAATTTAAGTTTTGAAGATTAAATCTTCTTTTGGTTTGTTTTAGGAATTTCTCGATTTGACGGCTTTGGAGATGATTCACAAGTAAGTTCTCGAAAGGTTATTTATTAGGTTAATGAGGAGCTTTTTTGCTAATACTAACCGGATCTTTATTGCATTATTTAGTTACCTTTCAGACTCTGCAATTTCTGTGCTTCAAAAGGAATTTGTGGAAATCGAGGAACCTCTTTGTACAGGTCCGTATTTTTTATTTATCCGTTTATTAACAAAAATTTGTTTCTTTTTTTTTCCATTAATGCAATAACGCAAGCTTTTTATTAATATTTGTATTGCTTTGTGGATTCTGTGTTTGTGACGCATAGAAATCAGCTTCCAGATAAGTCATCATATTCGCACACAAATTTATGTCGACTTCTCGAGTGTACCAACCGAAGAATTGGAAAATCTCTCCTCACGGATTTTCCTAGTATTGGAGCGCGTTGCGAAAGAAGGGTTTGATATGAATCGGATGAAAAATGTGATACGTCGAGAAAAATTGAAGGTATTTTGTGTTTTATATTTATTGATACTGCTCTGCTTGTAATTCTGAATATGAACTTCATCAAAGCTTGCTTTTACTTGCGCGATATTATACGAAACAATAGACATTGAATTATGTCGAAACTAATCCTTCGACTGGATTCGCAATGATTTGTATAAACGGTGAGTATAGCTTTTTTAATTTTGAGCGTAAAAACCCTATTGATTTTTTTTCAAAATCGTAAATTAAATATATCTACCCTCATTAAAATTTTTTGAATCCTTGTTTTTTCTTTTTCATATTGTCTTAACAGATTCCATATACGGAAAACCAAATGCCGAGGAACTTGAGGAAGCGTTCAAAGAACTTGAATATTTCGATCAAATGGATAAATTCACGAATGAGCAATGGGTTGGATATTTGAAAAAGTATATACGATGAATTTTTACATTGCATTAATTATACAATATACGTAATTTAATATTGATTATCTATTAGATATTATCTTGATAATCCGCATATTACTATATTAGGCAAACCGTCAGCGGAATTCGCTAGAAAATTAGCTGAAGATGAAACACAACGTGTCGAAAAACAACGTGAGGAATTGGGTCCAGAGAAATTAAAAGAATTGGACATGTTACTTAATGAAGCAATGGAGAAAAACGAGACTCCTGCACCTCCTGAGTTAATTGGTACGTGATATTGTATACTTTTCTGTTTATCTTGATAAGTATAGGATTTCTTAAAATCGCGTTTTTCTTTTATATTTGACAGAAAATTTCCCTATCCCGAATGTTGATAACATTCCACTCATTAAAGTTACGTTTGGCCGAAATCCTCCTGATCCCCGATTGTGAGATTTTGAATTCATCTAAAATGTATTATTGACTGATTTTAAAGTCATATATTAATAATGCTTTCTTTTTTTTTTTTTAGCCAAAATCCTGTTCAAGAACACTTAGACAAAGATGCAAAAGCAACAATTCCATACTTTATTCAGTATGACCGTATGTGTTTAATTATCCATCTATCGATAATATAACCTATCGTTAATAAATTAATTGAATTTTTCTTAATGTAAAAACTTTTAATAACAAAACCCAGACATCCGCTCCTCTTTCATCAAAGTCTCGATCTACGTCACCACAGCGGCAATCCCACCTAATCTTCGACTATATCTTGAATTATATCTCAATTCGTTCTACTCGTTACCAATAGTCCGACCGGACGGCACCCGATTAACATACGAAGAGGTTACCAAGGAATTGAATGAAAATACCATATTATACGATTACTGCATTGGTGCTGGTGGCTCTTTTCAGGATTTGGCGTGCTTTGTTCTTAAAGTGGAGGTAAATTTAATTTGGCTTAAAGTTACAAGTAATGGAAAGTAATTAATTATTTTATTTACACTCAGGCAAATAAATATGCAAAAGCAATTGAATTTTTACGTGATTTACTCTGGCATACGGAATTCGCGTTAGATCGTATCAAAAATATTGCCACGAAGCTGCTAAATGACATTCCATCAAGTAAACGAGATGGAAATACGGTGAATTTACGGCTTTTCTTTTTATTCTTCTTGGTTATAATAAATGACGATAAAATATTATTTAAATAGATGGCAAACACAGTTCTCCGAACAATAATTTTCGACCCAATCAAATCAAATCAATATGCACTCAACGTATTGCGTCAAGAAAAATTCTTGACTGCGCTTCTTAAACAGCTTGACGAGAGCCCGGAGAAAGTGGTGCAGGATTTGATGCAGCTTAGGGAGATTCGTAAGAAATTTTCTTCTTTCAAATCTTTATTTTTGATGATAGTTTATAATGAGAAAATTTTGTAAATTTAGTTACCCAGCCTGAAAACTTTAGGATAGATGTTGTTGGCGACATATTGAAACTTGAGAATCCAAAAAGCACATGGATTGAACATTTTAAGATTCAAGTATTAATTATTATTTCGTGGTAATTACTATTCGACTCTCATAATTTATTAGTTTATCGATCTTTCCGATAGTCTTCAAATTCACTAGAACCTGTGCGCTTGGCACAAGAAGTATTGACCGAGTATGGCAAAAATCCGGGCAATAAGGTTTATAGAATTTGGCATCTAATACATATAACAAGGGAAAATCTTAAACTTATTAACTTTCTAATGATTAGGGATACATTGTCAGTCTTCCTGCGATCGAAGGTTCTCACTCTATACACGTAGCCAAAGGTAATTATATCCTCCGCTACAAATAACCCCCTTTTTTTTTTATTTTTTTTTACAAAAAATAATACTTATAGTTAAATGATTCTATAGGCATAACTGAATTCGATTCACCGGATGTGGCTCCTCTTCTTGTACTTTGTACATTTTTAGATTCAATGGAAGGTTTCTTTTGGCGGACAATTCGAGGACAGGGATTTGCTTATGGTTTTGGGGTACGAGCTTCAGTGGAAACTGGTATGATAATTATTAATTTTGTTCTTTATCTTTTTTAATGAAAATGAAGAAATATAGTTTTTTTTGAATTGGCGTTTTCATCAATATAGGGTTGGTTTACTTCTACTTATATCGGTCACCAGATGTTTCCAAGGCTTTTGATCAAGCAAGACAACTTATCAATGATTTGGTTCAAAAAAAGGTAATGATTAATAAAAAAATTTTTTTTATTAATGTTTCTTAAGGATCAATATATTATTTGTTATTTAGACTGATTTTGATCGTGCTAATCTCGAAGGCGCACAAAGCGCTGTTATTTATTCGATAATATCGGAGGAGGTAAATTAATCTAGCAATTCAGAAATAAAAGTTCAGTGAAGAGATTATATTAATAACTAATGTGTTAATATATTCATTTAATTTTTTTTTACTAATAATGGCAGAAATCGATGGCTCAAGCGGTAAAATCATGAATAACAAAATTTTGTTTAGTGATTTGTTTCCTTTTTAAGATCTACTAAATAATTTTTTTATTACTATAAATATTTACTTATTTAGGCTGCTAAACTATTTATTACCACGGTGCTCAAGAACTTGCCTCCTAATTATACTCAAGAGCTTATCAAAAAAGTCAAGGTATTTTTTCTGAGAATTTTCTTTTCTAAAAAAAGTTAGCACGTCTTTTGATGTATCACTTGTTTAAAAAAGGCCGTAACAATCGAAGACTTACACGTAATGCTAAATAAATATCTCGCAAATCTATTTTTGGTCGAGACTTCAAATGTGGTGGTCGTATCTTCCCCCACAAAAGTAAAGGTAAATAATATGACGAGCTGACACTTTACTGGAATTTTTTCATGATTAAAATAACTTTATTCCACTGATAATTAAAGGACATTCAAGAAGGTTTCGTCAAACATGGTTTCAAGTTGGAAGAAAAAGCTTTAGATTCGTTTATCGTAGAAAATTAAAATGGATCATTCTTAGAAAAATTATGTAATTTTGCATGATGAAATTCAGCCAAAATAATACACGTGATATTATATACGCTGAATAAAAAATTTAATATTTAACATATTATTTCCTCGACCAATCGAATGCAGTTTTAACGTTAGCGTAAATATTACCTAAGCTTACCAAATATTCACAATTTTTAATTAGATCCGAATATAGTCATCACGCAATAAAGTTAAAACCAGTGTTATAACGGTTTTTATTGCCATATTTATTCAAATTCCATGTAATGACGCAAAAACACATCACTTTCAAAAATAAACTAAAAGCTCTGATCGGATCGGATTCGATGCTTTGAATCCGATGTTTTGCGGATTGATCAGATAGCAGTTCAAAAAAAACTATATATAATAAAAAATAAAAATTTTATATCAAAAATAAATATTTGATTTTTATAAAACTACAAATATATATATATATATATATATAAATAAACTTTAAGTTTTAATGATAATTATATATATAAAATTATAAATTATATAGTATTTTATAAATATAAAAATTCAATTGGATCTAAGTACAATAATATTTCTACAGGAACCAGACATATGCATATACTTTAGAAAGGATACGCGTTTAAGGAATAGTCAATAAAAAATAGATTTTTTATACATATAAGTATTGAAAGATAATAAAATTATTATAAAAACAATATATATATATATATATATATATATATATATTTATTTAAATTTAACCTGAATATCTTACATATATTTATATTAATTACAATTAATATTAATTTGAAATAAAGAATCAATAATATAAATTTTATTTAAATAAATTTCTTGATTTTTTGTTTATAAATGTAGAAATACTTGTTTTTGAGACTTTATTCACAAATTAAATTATAATAAAATTTTACTTTTTAATATTATATTGTATATAAAATAAGTCTTAATTAGTTATTATTATGTAATCTTTTATTTATAGAAAAATTTTATTATATCTGAAACTTAGAATTATTTATATATAAAATATAAAGAGTATACACTTAGTTAAGTTTTCAAGTTTGGAATCAGATTATGATATATATAAAAAAATATATACTTATAGAGGATACACCTATAGAAATGTTATTATAAACTTTTAATTTTCAAAAATTATAAAATATAATAAGAGTTATAAATATATATATAACATACTTATATCAATAATTTATATTTATAATAAATATAATATTTTTAAGGATTTAATTATATTATAATAAATTTATAATTTCAAGATGAAGTATTTAAATCAAACTTATAAATCTGATTTTTTATAATATATTTTCTTTATAATGCAATCTGATATTTTATTCAATTATAATTAAGATTATATAATTCTGTATATAATAATAATAATAATAATAATAATAATTTAGAATTATATTTATTAATAAAAATTTATAATATTTAATTATGTGTAATCTTAAATAATTAATTATTTACATAAAATTTTAATAAATTCAGATTTGCACTGTTATACTATTATAATAAATATTTCCAATAAAATTGTTATCATTATATCTATAATAAGAATGTTTATGTGATTTGTTTTAAATGTGAATTAAATATATAAAAAATAACAAAGTTTGAATGTTATAAAGCAATATTTTAAAAATTTGATTGTTAACTTTATAGAATTTTTATCATTGATCAGTTTTTAAAAAATATTACTTTTTGTAAGCTGAAAGATTTCAAAGTGTTATTAATTTTAAAAATTTAACAATTAATTATAAACTAGAATGAATTTTTGAAAATTTTTTACCAATATACATTGTAGAGACACCGTGTACGTTTCTGGTCAAAAATTTTCGATTGCAAAATTCAAAATCCGATCCGATCCAAATTTCGGATTGATTCGAAAATTCGAAGCATTTTATAAATTAGAAGCTTTTCGAAGAGGTCTCGTACCTTTTACGAAATTAACACCCATACATACATGCAAATGAATAACTTTTTTTCTAAATTAGTCTCTCTCCTTAACGTAAGGTTATTTTTAGATTAATGTATTACATTATACATGCACATGTAGTTTAAATTAAATTTTTGGATAAATTGTTTCATATTTATTTTTATCCATCTTATCGATGCAATTTTGCAATTTGGTTTCTATATGATTTGGCAAGTTGATAATTAAAGAATATAACTAATTAATAATTGAAATCCGAGGAATTTGGTTGACAACACTTTTAAAGTAATTCGGAAAAAGTATAAAGGTGCTTATTTTTTTTAAATATAAAAAGCGGGGATTGATATTATCTGAAAGAAAATAATCTTCCAAAAGTCACTTCTTACTCGTTTTATTATATAATTGAAAGTTTCTATAAATAATGAATCCAACACAAAATCTTCCACAATTCCAACAACAGAATCATCAGCCTGCAAATCAACAACAGAACTTGCAGCAGCCCATAATTTTCAACAAAATCAACCATTGCAACAACCACCACAACCACCAGTACTTTTCAACATTATAAATGGAACCAATAATATTTTCAATGACTCGTTTATTACCACGTCAAATGACAATAATATTTCGGTTATACTCTTAGAATCATATCGTTTATAATGAATTGATACACTTTATTATTTCATTTCTGTTTGCTCTTTTATTTCATGGTTGATCTTCGTATTAAATCATATTTCTATTAGAATCGTTAGTGATATGATTAAAATATCCTTAAACGACGTTTATGTTTCTTAAAGAATAATAATATATGATACTCCTTTTTATATCGTGTGATCAAGAGACAAGAAATTTACATATGCTCAATTAAATATAATTTAACCTAAGATCTTATTTATCATTTTGCAATTCTTATTTTTATTTTTAACAAAGTAACTTTTTTAATATAATAAAAAATAACCAAATACTCGAAACGTCAGATCTTAATTCTTTATATTTGGCTGGATCATACATAATCTTGATAAACTTCGCACGTAAATCATATAAATTTATTAGAAAATTCTATTATATCGAGCAGATTTATTATAAATAGTTTGAGATCAAGAAGGACCCACATATTATAAAGCAAGTAGGCCACTATAAAGCGCATGACTGTAGGTATTTGTAGAAATTCGGCGCAGAAATTCTTAACAGGATTAATAGCATAGAACATTTTCAGAGTAAAATATTTTTTGGATGTGCGTAATTAGATATCTGGCAGTGTAATAAGCGCACGTACCACCTCGTTTTGTGTATGTAAAATCATTAATATCGACATTTTGATTAATTTTAATTTTTTTTAGTGATACAATTGCATTTTTTATCTTCCTCCTTCAAATAAACTCAGTCACATGCAGGTTCAATTTTTTTTTGAGTTTCGATTATTATCGTTATGGTTTTTTAATTTACAAACCACTTCTCTTTTTAATATTAGCAGATACAATGCGTTGTTTTACATGTAAAAATCAAAAATAGGACTTCAAAATACTATTAACACTTACAGTAAATAAATTCTGTCAAGATTCTCTTCTTCGTTGGGTTTCTCATTTCGTCTTTTAATAGCATCTATTCTGTATTCGAGATCCACAATGTTTGATTTTACTTAAAAAACTACATTTCGGCTCACATTATGCTGATCATCAACCGTTAATTCCGGTCGACTTAAGAGCTCACTGCAAAAGCGACATTTATACAGTCAAACCTCGATAATAAATTTTTACTTGATATACCGGATTTTTTTACAAATGAGACGGACCATTCCGGTTTATACCCCAAAGCATCAAAGTATACTATGTATGTATATATACGTACAATATTAATGTTCGTTGTCAAAATGAAATCAGAATTGTGTAAGAAAATAAAAAGACTCTGAAATCGAGAAACTTCCAGGATTAGTTCTTTCAAAAGATTTGTTAACTTATCACATAGAGTGTGACGCAAGCATCAAATTTAATCAGAATACATCGAGTAATGGGTTTAGTATGACAAGCGTTTGGCTAGCCACCCGCGGATGATGAAAAAAGGAAACTCATTCCGAAGGATGGGAATGAGGCTAAGTAACCGAATTTTTTTTATTTTAAATTTTCGCTTAAAATAAAAACCTTGAACATAATAAATTATTCAATATACACATATTGTTTAAACAGAACAAAGATCAAATAAAATCGCACAACATAATCGCACATATTATAATTCACACAATAACACGCGCATACATATACATCATTCATAATACATGTATATAAAAAGAATTTCTATAATACTCGAGGGCATCTAATAAACCCACGTGAATAGGACTGATGACCAGACTACATCTAAATTTGGTAAAACGAATTTATAAATTTATGCAGTAGTTTGGTGTGCATGCAGAATAACACATAATTTCTGCAATAAATATCAATTAATGGAAATATGCTCTATATGGCTAAATTCGATGAACAACAGAATCGACCTAGTTTACTTAATCTTTTTTTTCGAACACGCAACAAAAAGTATTTAAATGGGCGTTGTTCTTTAAATATTTTTGTTTAATACTTTTTTTTTTCGTTATTTCTTAATAAACTAATAATAATAAGAATAACAACGGTCAATAATAAACTAGAAATAACGGTAATAATAATAATAATAATAATAATAATAATAATAATTATTATTATTACAGACTAGACTGTAGCATTTATAAATAAAAATAATAATAATAATAATAATAATAATAATAGTAATCTTGAGTAAAAGACAGTAACGATAACGAATAATTATCTTTAAGTATACAACGACCGTTAATATAATGCATACTTTTTCAACTCTTGCTGTTCTTCTGTTGACATATATTGTTGCTTCGACTTCAGGTAACTAAAAATATGTAATCTCAAAAGAGAAAAAGAAAGAAACATGCAATACTGTATATCTCCGAAAAATAAGCTACCCCTTTTTTTGCACGGATTTTAAGTTTATCTTTGTACTTTTCATATAACAAAATCACCGGGAGGGGAAGGGGGAGGGGGGGAGTTTATTTTTGGAGATACACGAGATCTCTCACTTGATAAAAAAAATTTGCTCACTCCTGCATGTTTTAATCTGTGACCAAATAAACAGCCTTCACAATCGTCTATCCGTCGTCAAAATACTATGTCGCGGCAAACACCACTTGTTATATCAGATGGACCTACAATGCGAGTAGTGACCCTGATCATTTCAGCATTGAATTAGAGTATCCTGTAAGTGAAATAGTATTTATTTTTCATTTTTTTATGTTTTTTTTGTGGGTCAAGCAAGCAAGTGATGAATCATTAAAATAAATTGCAGAATGAACCCCCATATGCTATCGCAACAACTGTAAACTCTTCACTTGGTATGATCAATTGGACTGTTCAAGAAGTTCCGCCGAGACCTGGTAATTTTTTTTGTTGCGTTGCTGTATTGTTATTTTGCTAGCTTTATTTATTTATTTATTTATTCATTTATTTATTTATTTATTATTGCAATAAAACATGAGACAGGTTATGACATCGTATTCGTAAATATCGGAGACATCAATCAAAGGTACGCCACGTCAGAAAAATTCGAAATAAAGGGTCTCGGAAACTCATGTAAGTTTTTTCCCTTTTGACTTTAACAAAAAATGCAACTTTTAAAAACCAATTTTTATTAAACCGAAAAAATGTAATAACAGCGAGTGTATACCAACCACCATCAACAGCAAGCACCGATAACACAAACAGCAGCGCTCCAGACAGTAAAAACTCTACCAACAAAACATCCGACGGAAGTAGTTTATCGACTAACGCTCGGTCATTGTTTTATTCGTATCAAATGGCGTTGATTGTTATTGGTGTTGTTAGTTTCGTTGGTTATTTCAATGGCTTTTAAAGGCACCAAAAAAAAAATAACTAATTTTCTAATTCGATTAATAATACGAAAATTAAGAGTTTTCTTTTTCACTTGTAATAAGTATATTTAATTAGACCGCGTCCTCTGAAAAAAGTATAATTAATATAGCACTTTAATAATATTCAGTTCCGAAGATTCTGATAATTAACACATGATAAATTTTCTATGTTGATGCTGCACTTTTGGCGAGGTTGAAAGTTTCTTATCAACTTTAAAATGGGTCTTTATCGTACGAATATTCTTGGAAATTTTGAATCAATTATACTATAACTGAAAAGGTTATTTTTTTTGACTAGCGTTAAGAAATGATACTAGTATTTAAAAAATTACATGTACATGCATATTGTTTCGGATTTTAAGTACAGTCGCACGCCTCTAAATGCATGCTGTCGGAAACTAAACATGTAGCATGCATTTAGAGGAGTTCGCATAAAATATGCATTTAGAGACTGAAGTCCCCAGCAAATTAAAAATATGCATTTAGAGATGTGAATGTATAATGTACATGTATTTGAAAATATTGATACAAGGCTAAAATTTCGTTTTTATTGATAGTCTAAAATTTAAATTTATTGTGACAGATTAAAACCAAATTTGGAACTTTTAAAAGATTAAAATGAAAAGTTTAGCAGTTATTAAACTGACATTCTGATTATTTGTGGCTGTGTATCAACACAGCCATCACCAACTCGAGCCAGGCTAGCACGTATGGGACAATACTGTCAAATGTGTGTTGATTGTTTTTTAAATGTATATACCAAAATTAGCCTAAAGGTTTCAAGATGTCTAAATTTATGTTGAAAAGTTCAACAAGCAAATAACGATAACACAAGGTGAAAAAGGATATTATGACACAGTGCAATATCTCGATACCTAGCAATTGGAATCATGTGAAAAATGCCACCATTTGATTTGTTATGCCTAAACGAATCGTGAGATTCCCGATCGTTTAGGTATCGAGATACCGCCAAAATTTAATTTAAATTGGTGAAGATCTCTATATTACCAGATCTTCATTCGATACGCCTAGACATAACGAAGTGACCGAAAGACGCATTTTAGACTGTTGAGTAGAATCGGTCATGCTTGGATGGGTTTTTAAGTCCCACTTGTTGAGAATTAGTCACATTCGAGTTTCAAAAAGGTTCAGAGTTAAAAACTAGCATAAAAGTTGACGATATAATTTATTATGAAATAAGATTTAGTTTAGAAGTATGTATCACTAACAAAAGCAACGCTCTTCCTACCTAATATTTAAAAGTAACAACACAACGATTTTGTCAATCAATTTATGCATAAAATCTGTACTATTGATTTTTGCTATGGTACCTGACATAGTTTTGATTAATTATCATATGACGCACCCCCATGTATTTTCATGCTTCCGATAGCAGTTATTGAAATATCGTATGTTTTTATCATGCGTCATAATACCCTTCCTGCGTCATAATTATCATTTAAAATAGCATCCAAAAAATGTATTTTTTTTCTTTTAACATTTATTGTAATAATATTTTTTTTG